TTGTACACGGATGCAGAATATCTGCTCGTGAACTCATATGCTCCTCGATGAACAGTAAATTCGAAAAAAATGACAATAAAATTCAAAACTTTTGATTCTTTTTGGGAAAACATTAAGTAATGTTTCGGGTGCTTGCAAAGTTTCATTATGAAATCATATTCGTGGAAGTCATGGTTAAAAAAATTGATGCTCTGAAAATGGTACTTTCGAACGCATTTTGAAGCTCTATTTTTTTTCCCACGAATGTGATTCCATGATGAAACTTTACAAGCACTCCAAACATTACTTAATGTTTTGCCACCCAAAAAAAAGTCAGATTTTTTGAATTTATTTTGGAATTTACTATTCATACCAGGAACATTTGAGCTCGAGCTGAGAAAAATACTTTCGATTCTACACTCATATACTCAAGCATTACAACACGAGCAGGAAGTATGGCTTTACCTCCACCATGAGGGCATGTACCTGGGTAAACAATCTCATGTTTCCTCTCGGTTTGCTCACCTAGGCTTAATACCTATCGAGGGATCCACCAAAAAATACTCCCAAGACCATCACCCCCACCACCTCCTCAATGCCGCCGGGAAAACAAAAACCTAAGGAGAAAAAAAGAAACAAACAGACGAATCATCTTGCCGATGGCAAGGCCGCCGGAGAGGGAAGAGGAGGGGGTGATGTGGCGGTGGGCCGTGGGGAGAGCTTGGTCGATGATGGCTAAGGTTGAGGTCGCTCGAGAATTCTCTTCAGTAGTTGTTGGGTTGCTTAATTCGTTGGGTTGGGCTGATGGGCTTTATACATACCACTACAGATAGATGTTGGAGCTTGTGAGTTTTGTTATGAAGCATAATAAGGCGAAGAAGCATCAATCGTGTGCACTGAAGCTTGATATGATGAAGGCATATGATAGGGTCGAGTGGGAATATTTGAGAGCTATAATGCTAAAGTTGGGCTTCACAATTCGGTGGGTGGATATAGTGATGAATCTTGTCACCACAGTTAAGTTCTCAGTAATGTTCAATGGAAACAAACTACAGGAGTTCACACCAACCCGTGGAATCAGACAGGGGGACCCCATTTCCCCATACTTGTTCTTGTTAGCAGCAGAGGGCCTTTCGTGCCTTCTTAAATCCAAAAATGAGTTATCCAACTTAAGTGGTTTGCAGGTAGCCCCCTCGGCTCCACCAGTGAATCACCTGTTATTTGCTGATGACAGACTGCTGTTCTTCAAGGCTAATAGTGTGGGTGCTGATGAGGTTAACCAGGTTCTGGACACATACTGTCAGGCAACTGGTCAACGTATAAATTTTGCAAAGTCATCAGTCTTCTTCAGTAAAGGAGTGCCTGAGTCTGTGAGGGATGAGATCAAGGAGCTGCTCAATGTTCCAAATGAGACATTAAGCGAGAAGTACTTGGGAATGCCATCTGACATTGGTAACTCAAAGAATGGTGCCTTCAAATATCTAAAGGATCGGTTGTGGAGCAAAGTCCAAGGATGGATTGCAAACACAATGTCAGCAGCAGGTAAGGAAGTCCTTGTTAAATCTGTAGCCCAAGCAGTGCCAGTTTTCTCTATGTCTTACTTCAAGCTCCCTAGAGGATTGTGCGAACACCTCAATATGCTTATAAGGAAATTCTGGTGGGGGAGCAAAGAGGGCAAACGCAAACCTCATTGGGTCTCTTGGCAAACTATGACCCAACCGAAAGGTATGGGTGGTCTGGGTTTTAAAGATTTCGAGTTGTTCAACCTGGCTATGTTGGCAAGGCAGGCATGGAGATTGTTACAGAACCCCGAGACGCTGAGTGCAAGGCTTCTGAAAAGCATTTACTTTCCAAACTCAGATATCTTGCAGGCTAGCCTCGGGAGCCACCCTAGTCAGATATGGAGGGCAATCATCGAAGGAAGAGACACCTTAAAACAGGGTTTAATAAGGCGGGTGGGTAATGGCGACACGACACACATCTGGAGTGACAATTGGCTGCCGAGGGATGAGATGCTTCGCCCTTATGGCAGTCGAGTACAGAACCCGCCGTCTTTGGTCTCGGAACTAATTGATCATACATCTGCAACTTGGAATAGAACGGTGGTGGAGGCAACTTTCATGCCAATGGACGCTACTGTTATTCTTGGGATTCCCCTCTGCACCCGTAATATTCCTGATTTTTGGAGTTGGCACTACGATGAGCATGGCATGTTCACAGTGAAATCTGCTTATAACATGCTCGTAGCAACGAAGCAGCAAAGAGAAGCATGGTTGGAGGGAACGACGGGCCCCTCGAGCTCAAATGCAGAGAAGAACAGTTGGAAAAGTTTGTGGAGGACGAGTGTTCCGGCTAACGTGAGGATGTTCTTGTGGCGCTTGTCCAGACAGTCGCTACCAAAGAATGATGTACGCATGCATCGCCACATGACAGATTCAGCCAGCTATGGGCTTTGTGGCGCGCTTGACTCATGGCGACACTCTCTCATCGAATGCACCGCTTCCAGGTGCACTTGGGCTCTCAGCAATAGTGATCTTGTGCAGCAAATGATGGAAATCACTGAACCCTCCGCCAAGCAATGGTTGTTTACCCTTATAGAAACTCTATCGCAGCAGAAATTCACGTTGCTTGCGGTAACTATGTGGGCTATCTGGTCGGCACGGCGAAAAGCGATACATGAAGGTATTTTCCAGAGCCCTCAATCCACACATGCTTTGTAAACAGGTACATATCAGAGTTGGAAATTGTTGGTACTGGCAATTCGCGCGTCGTCCTGGGAACGGTATCGCATGTGGCGCCTGCTGCTAGACCCAAGGCTCCTCCTATGGGATATGCAAAAATTCATGTGGACGCAGGAGTAAGGTTTGAGCGGGGAGGATCCACCGCTGCTATCTGTAGGGATGACCAAGGATTCTATCTTGGAAGCTCAGCACTCGTCATTTATGGTGTACACGATCCTACTGCTTTGGAGGCAATTGCTTGCCAGGAGGCTTTAGCTTTGGCAGAGGACCTCAACTTGCAACAGTTCATCATTTCCTCAGATTGCAAAGAAGTTGTCTCGAACATTCAAAAGGGGGTCAGAGGACGATATGGTACTATCATTAGCGAAATAAAACTCAGCGCATCTACTTTTAATTGTAATTTTGTTTGGGAGGGTCGTGCTGTAAACTATGAGGCACATAGATTAGCTAAATTTGCTCTTTCGCAGGGTCCGGGACGCCACTTGTGGCTTGGAAACCCCCATGACCTTTCATGTATACCACATCATGTGGTTTTTGGTGATGAATAAATTGTTTTTCACCCCTCAAAAAAAAAGCCGCACACATGCCCCTGCACTGAGGCTCATTGTAGATTCTGTCCGGAGGAGATTGAAGGCGAGAGCGATCCAACAACTTCAAGAGAGTGTTCGACATTTGGCAGCTTCTGCAGACCACCGGCATTGACCCCTCCCATCCAGACTCCATCCGCTAGAACTGGACGGGTTCAGGGGAATACTCCAGCAAGTCTGCCTACCATATGTAGTTCTCTGGTCGTGTGGTGCCTTTCCACTCTGCTAAGGTTTGGAAAGCACATGCCACCCCCAAATGCAAGCTCTTCGCCTGGCTTGTCCTACATGGAACAATCCTCATGGTGGAAAACCTGGCAATCCATGGATGGCCACACAATCTGATATGCCGCCTTTGCATGGCATCCAATGAGACGGTCACTCATCTCTGTAGAGATTGTCCCTTCTCGCACGCGGTATGGAGGACCATCAATGCCGCAGAGGGAATGCCTAATCCGAGCCCACCGGACGATGGAACCTCCATCAACACGTGGTGGGGGGGCTTCCTTGCCAGTGTTCCAGCTCAGAACAGGCGGGAGCGTAGTGGTGCCATGATCTACATGCTCTGGAACATTTGGAAGGAGAGGAACTGTCGGGTTTTCATCGGCAAGAGGTTGACCTACCAAGAAGTCGCACACCTAGCTTTGACAGATATTCGCTTGCACAGATCCAGTGGTTTTCTCATTCGCGAGTAATCCGCATGCCCATGATGTTAGGGAAGCTCCCCTGTCGCCCGATTCTTATGGGGAAAAGCCTTGTGAAAACTATTTGTAACACTCTCTCTTCTTCTAATTTAAAGGCAGCGCTCCTGCCAGTTTCTCGGGAAAAAAAGACCCTTCGCTCTATATAAATTGGTGACCACCGATTTGTCAAAAATAATTAAAAAAATTGGTGACCACCGATGCATATCTACAAACCCTAAATCCATAACCATTACCGTGGGGTACTAAAGACCATGGAGGCGCGGCGGATCCTGGCACTTGCCGGCGAGAGGGCTCCATTTTTAGGTGTTTTTTTTTAGTTTTGTTAGGGTTTATGTCATGCTCAGGAAGATGAGGCGGGGGTGACTTCTTGAAGATGGAATAAGGTTCTTCCCATCTAGCCCCTGTCCTGGTGGTGCTTATAGCATCTTCAGAGGGCGTGTGGAGGTGTGTCTTCGACGGATCTCGTGGGATTCGGTCGGCGTTTGTCTTAGATGGATCCGATCTTTGTTCGTCTATGTCAGAGTGTCTACAGGTTAGATCCTTTCGATCTACGCTTCTCTTCATCGGCGGCGGCTGTTGTTTTGGTGCGCTGGTCCTATTGGGCCAATAAGATTTGCCCGGTTCCGATAAGGGAGATGCGATAACGGTGGCGCGCCTTCGGCTCGCTCCAGTGACTGTAGTCGTCGCTAGGTGGTCTACGGACCTAGATGTAATTTTTATTTCTGTTGTTCTTTGTACTATCTTGATTGTTGATAAATAGACTAAAGTTTTCTCGCAAAAAAATATATCATAATTTCATGGTTATAATCTTCTGACATGCACGTCAACGGGGAAAAAGCATATGGCATATGCACAATCACCTTCCTTAATATCCAAAGCGGTCAGCCCTAATTGTTCCCATCCGTGTCCACTTTTCCGCGATCTCCGCAACGAACGGAGTCTTCTAACCGTGACGAGGAGGTTGCTCTGCTGCCTCCTCACGTACCCTGGCTATGGCCTTCATCGCGTCCAAGCTCGTTCGAGCAGCCCTAGCATCACGCCCCGTTGGAGATATTGCTGGTAGTATTTCCCCGTGTCTCCCCCGGCTCTCTCTGACTGGCGGTTCCATCCGTCGCATGTCTGCAGCTGCAGGTAATCCGAGACAGCTCTTTCGTAATTTCGATCTAAGTCTTGAATGCCAAAATTCCCATGTTATTCTGATAGCTCTTTTCGCAATTGGATCTGAATCCCGAATTCCAAAGGAATTCTCATTACTTGGATGATAGCTCTTTCAGAGTTTGTATCTGAATACTAAAGGATTCTCGGGCTTTGGATATGAAAAGGAATTCGCCTTACTTGGATCTGAATTTAATTTAATACCCAAAATTACCATATTATTTCTTCTTGTCATCAGTAGATCTATTTGAAAAAGCTGGCAGGGATTGGGCCTTACTCATTCGGACATCTAGAAGGCATATTTTTCTTAGTAAAACTAAGTGGTTAAAAAACTGGTTTATGATGATTCATGATATCTTAATGTCTCTGCCTTCAATCAAATTAATTCCGTTGAGAGCATTATTACAAGTGATGTTATTTTACAATCGAATTTTAACTCTGTGCTACTGAAGCAGACGGTTCTGAGATAGAAGAAATTCTCGGACTCCGCGGCTTTGTGGCGGACATAAATCCAGAAGAAAAATTTCCCCTTGTTGATGAGAATTCCATTAAGTCCAAGGAATCTCTGTGGGCTTTGTATAAATGCTGGTGCAAGTATCGTGGGGTATCTCGTAGCCATGAAGAAATGACCCGTCGGTTCAGTTCATTTAGGGCTTCTGCAATGCGCGTGTACAAAAACAACAATTCTAGATCGTCGCAAGTGTCTCAACTGGGCCCATTTGCAGATATGACCAAGGCGGAGATTGCTCGCCTGTTTCCTCCTCGTGGTAAGAAAAATAATCCAAGCTCTTCTAGCCCTACTGTGCATTACTTCGTTATTATATAAACTCATCTAGTTTTTATTATTTTCTGTATTTGCATGTATGTCTTCCGCTCTTATGTGTAGTGAACTTGGCAGAAAATTTCGGTTTTTTAGTGTATAAAACTGTTCTTTTGACACCATCAACCTGTTATGTTCAGTTGGTCTTCTTAGCTTGCATTCTGCACACAACCATCACTAAATTGTTTCATGAAAAGTGTAGGGCATAGAAGTTATTTGTGTGGTCAAGCTGCTTAGATCCCCAATACTATTTGGCCGAGCATCGCCCACAAGATTATGGTGAAAATATCAAGTTCTGCTGTGATCATGAGAAACCATACATTGCTCATATGGGTTTGGCAGAGAGAAGATGCAATTAGTTAGCTACCAATCCTTATCCTTTGCTCCTACTACCTTCATTACTTCATGATAAAACCTGCACTTAGACTCAAAATTTGACCTGTTTTAAACCCTCCGTAGCAACCTGCGTAAAACAGAGGCATTTTAAATATGTTCTAACTGCCATGGAGATTCACAAGCTTGACAGACCAAATTTTCAAAAAATGTATTAAATAGTTGTGTTTTTCTTTTAGGTTTTGTCATTGTGAAAATACTGGCAACAAGCAGACCACTAAACTGAGTTTATTTCTCCGTTCTAGCAATAGTTGTTCATTGCTTTTCTTTACTATCACCTTAAAGAAGCGCCTTTCGTACACTTACGTTTCGAAATGATTCATTAGATTGACACATATATCTATCTACCTTTGGTCAGGTCCCAAGTGCCGCTTTGGGGGGTCCAGGAGGTGGTGCAGCCCTTAAATAAATAACTAATTGGCGAAATTATGAACTCGTCTTGTATTGTAGTTTATGGTAAGCTCTGTCGTACTGGAAGTATCGTTGCTCTATGGTTCTTCTCATGGAATGTTCTGTTCCCAAGTGCAGCTTTTTTGGGGGGGCGCATGAGCTAGTGCAGCCCTTGAATAGTTAATTGACAAAATTATGAACTTGTCTTCTATTGTTGTGTATGGTGAACTCTGTTGTGCTGGAAGTATTGTTGCTCTATGGTGCTTCTCAGGGAAGCAAGTTAGAGTTGAAATAACTTGCATTATTTCTGCTGCTCTTACTGCTTTCTAGATCATTGATGGCATGTTTTGCAGCGCCTGTCCATATTTTCTGATAGAACAATAGGAATTTTCACCCATATATATAAATGAAATATGTATGTTTATTTTATCCATCCTAGAAGAACATGCAACTTATTTCCATGACTGTTATTTCTCAGTGTTCGTGTCAGGATTGACCATCCTCATGTATGACACACAGATTGCAAAGCTAGAAAATTGTGTATCCTGGTACAACCAATCCAAACTTTATATAGCATAAGAAAAGTTGTCTGCATATTAAAAACACGTCATTTATCTGCACATGAAACAAAGAACACGAATCAAACCCTGAGTATCTGGAACTTAAGCGAGTAAATAGCATAAAACTACTATAATTCGGGTTAGGGTTCCAAAAACCTACAAGATTTTATTTTCTCTATAACTACCCCTACCATCGCCTTATATGGGGAACGAGACCCATGGTTTAGATGTTCCCAACTGATCTCGCCTCGTGGCTTTCTTGGCTTGTACACCAAGATGGTCCCCCCTCCCTCCCT